GGGGCTGAAGCCCAAAGTTGGTGGGGTGGGGGCGAGGGGAGGCTGAAGCGCCGCCCTACGCCACCTGAATACGGAACTACGTCGCTGGTACAAGTGCGCACGAGCAGGACAGGGACATGCGAGCCCGCTCGCCGCTGCCGCCTTCTCACGTCCGCCACCTGAATACGGAACTACAGCCGCTGGTTACAGCGCACACGAGCAGGACAGGGACATGACGAAGCCCGCTCGCCGCGGCTCTGCTCACGTCCGCCACCTGAATGCGGAACTACGCCGCTAGTACAGCGCACACGGCAGGCGCCGCTGGTACAGGCGCACACGAGCAGGCGCCGCTTGCGTACAGTGCACACGAGCAGGACGGGATATGACGGGCCCGCTCGCCGCGGCCTGCTCACGTCCGCGACCGTTATTAGACATTGCTGCTGGCAGCAGCTTGACAGTACAACGCCTTAATGCCTGCCTCATCACTGAAATGGCCGTCAAGACCGTGTCTACCATTATGAAACGTGCGCAGTCCAACCACAAATCGGTCGAGCGAGAATGGTACAGGCATGGTCAGAGCCAAAAACCAGCCCAGACGCGTGCGACTTCATCAGTAATAGCATTTTTCTCAAAATCCTTATGATAGCTCAGAATTTCAATTTAAAGCAGCTGACACTGCGGGCGAAATGTCATTTGACTCCCTGCCCACAACTATGAAAGCAATGCGTCTCATTTGTCTTGTTTTTTTCCATCATGTGAGTTCTGTAATGTTTGCAACACACGACTGTGTCAAAATGTTGGAGTGATAAGTGCTACAAAAGCTTGGAACACCCTGTTTAGATAAAAATATGTATGAACATGAAGCAATTATCCCGCGAATTCAACAAAACGTTATACTAGGCCTTAGTGTGTTCCCCTACGACGCTTATCCCAGTGGCTCTTTTTGAGGCTCACTTTGGCTTTGGGAATGGGAGTATCACATGATCCATGTGACGCACTGATTCAAACTCAATTAACCAGCCTCTCGGTAACAGGTCCTTGACCGCTGGGCCAATCACAAAGCTATTTATTCGCATCAGTAGACGTGCGCACGGTCGTTACCATGACGACAGTGGTAGCCACCGCAAGGAAGAAGTGTAGCGTTGTGACAAAGTGTAGTCAGCATCATTTGGATTCTATTTACATCTTGGCAGTGCTGCAGAAGCACTACCCAGTGCCATAATTAGATGGGATTAGTCCTCAGGTTTCATTAGAACATTTTTTTTTAAACACGCCCAATATTGGGACATTCCCTTTAATGGAAATGGCCGCATGAGGTGTATCACTATAACAGTGCCACGAAAGCTGATCAAATGTCTGTTGGTGCATTTTTCAGGGATGCCTTAAAAGCTTTTACCACAACATTAAAACGGTATATGGAAGACTGGAGCCTGCAATATCGCAGACTCATTTCTGAAGACATGTGACGTAAATTCAACATAAAAATCGGAGGCGTAGAAAAGTCTCGAATGCAAACATAGAAGTCGATGTTTTAAGACTTCAAAATAGAAACTTAGGCCTCTCGTGTCTCGAGATTAACAACCGAACAGGATCACCTCAACCAAAATCGTCAAGTACGACTGAGATTCATACAACCCGAAACCTCAAGGCGGCGGCGGTCAGCCTACAGCTGCTTTTCAAATGCATGTTTCCAGAGCATTTCCAAATTCGGACTCCTCAAGGAATCTGTGGAAAATGATCCCTCCGAGAGAAGAAGATAATGTCTCAGGGCGCCACAGCGCTGCAAACAAAAGTATGCTGGCAATGCCGGCACCGTTATACAGCAACGGCCACCCGCCTTAACAAACCCCCAGAAAACTATCTGACGCTGCACCCCTGCTCGCTCATTACAGCGCATGAATAAGCAGCTAAAAAACTTCAGTTCAGGAAGACCGTCTGATCTAGAAATTGATCAGACGGTCTTACCGAACTCGGGATTTCAGTCAGTCGTATCTTCGGTGCCTACGTGGGCATTAAGAGACATGCTGCGTCGGAATTTGCGTAAGCATCGCATGGGAAAAGGAGAGTAATGTACATATATATGTATATGTACATATATATTATTCTCAGTCAGGAAAGAGAGAGAAAGAGAGGACAGAGAGAGAGAGAGAGAGAGAGAGAGAGAGAGAGAGAGAGAGAGAGAGAGAGAGAAGGAGAGAGAGAGAGAGAGAGAGAGAGAGAGAGAGAGAGAGCATAGATCGAGTTAAACCGTGAACTGAGAGCGCCAATGGTGCGATCGTCAGCCAGGCCATCGACCGACGAAGCGAAAACGATCCAACTTCTCGTCCCAGGCAATTTGTGCGACGAAACGGGGTTGCTATAGGGACAAGAAGTTGGTCTCACAGTTTGCAACCGGCATTGGACGGCACCTTAAGAACAAAAGTTTGATCTTGTTTCAGAGGAGAAATCGAACATTTCTGTCTCTCAGGCCATTTGAAGGTGCGCGGAAAGTGCTTAGGATGGCCAAGTTTCCCGAAGAATTAAAGCGTGTGTGGCGTTTGTTCACATCAGTCAAACTGTGTTGGAAGAAATCGCGAACAAAGGTGTCCTAGCCAGATTGATGACTGTAACCCCTGAAGCACGTCGCTTTTCAAACAATGGACGTAATTAGTGCGACACAAAAAAGAGTACAGTGTCAACACCCAGTTTCCAGCGTAATGCATAAGCACAGAAAAATCATGACTTGCATTCACTTTCCAGAAAAGTGTGTTCTTTAACAAAGGCTTTTCCTCGTTTAGAAAGGAAAGGAGAAAATCTTCTTCAGATGTTGAGCATAGCTCTTCAACATGCTTCTTCAGTTTCGACTATTGTTGTTCGACATTGGGCAACAAGAGGAGGCATGGGTGTAGTACGCCCACGGCTAGTTCCCTCGTGGTGAGCACGGACGGGCTGCTTGTCTCTAAAAACCTGCCCGGGGTGGCTATGACTCGTCGCCAAACTCCGTGCAGCACTTGGCGGCGCAAGGCAAGATAATCGTCTCTGCGTTGCCTGCGCGCTAGTCGGTCCAGCTGATCCGTAGTGTTCAATACAGTGGCTCTCGGTAGAGCGCGGTCACGGCAGAGATTCCGTCTCTGCCGCGCACAGACACCGAGCTGCTGGCGCAAGTCACCGGCGACACCGCGCTCTCCAGGTGGGGGACCAGACTGACGTCGGGAGGTTGGCGGCGTACGGCGACAAGTCGAAAAAGATAGGGGGGGAGGGTAAGTCCAACAGGTCAGAGTGACATGTCCATGAGGACGGGGTGACACGTCCAGCGGGACATGGAGGCACGTCCAGCGGGACATGGTGAGACACCTAGCTTAGTAGCGTGACACGCCCAGTAGGGTGGGGTACATGTCCAGCAGCATAGGGTGGAACGTCTTATGCGTCAGAGTGATACGTTTACCGGTACAGGATGAGATGTCCGACAGTTTGGGTCGAGCTGACATGTCTGCCAGGTAGGTGTAAGGGGTCCCGCCCTGTGGGGGCACAGCGACACGTTCCACGTATCTGTGTCGCGTCCGTTACGATGTAATCAAATGTCCAGCAGGACAGCAGGATATGACGAAGCATCCAACAGCTTGCGCTGACACATCTGGTGAGGTGGGGTGGCATGTCTAGCATGGTATGGTTACACGTCCAAAAGGGTATGATGACGCGTTCAGCAGAGCAAGGAGTTATATGCAGCGGGAGGGGACGCCACACCCAGCAGGGTGGGCTGACACGTCTAGCAGGATGGGGTGACATGCCCAGCAGGGTGGGCTGACATGTCCAGCAGGATGGAGTGATGCGCCCAGCAGGGTAGGCTGATACGCCCAGGAGGGTAGAGTGACACGCCCAGCAGGGTAGAGTGACACGCCCAGCACGGTAGGCTGACATGTTCGGCAGGATAGAGTGACACGCCCAGCAGGGTAGGCAGACATGTCCAGCAGGGTAGAGTGACACGTCCAGTGGGGCAGGGTGACACGTATATACAGCAGGAGCCACCCTGAGGTAGCTGTGCCTCGGCAGGGTGAGGCGGTGATGGCGGCTGGGACGCAGGCTGGCGGGGCGCTGGCATCCAGGACCGTTTGGTCGGTGTGAGGATCGGACATACAAGTTGCTGACGCCGGGCAGCGCGTGACTCCGGAGTGCGGGCGCGCGGCCCAGCGGGGCAGGTCAGGCCAGGGTGGGGCGGAGCAGCCGGCGAGGCGGCCGGGCAGTCGGCGGGAGGACCCGCGGGGACGCACCGGCGCCGGCGGCGGGCGCGTATCTCGCGCGACGTGCAGACAGCGTCATGTGACTGCCTTGACAATGGGATGGTCGACCTAAGCACGGCATCAGCACTGAACGACGACCGACGCTGACGCCAGCCGGCGTGGGGACGGCGACCGTTCGCAAGGAGCTCACGGCGGCTACCTACAGAGACGCAAGGCAAGTGCGTGTCCAGTGAATACCAGAAGATACACACATATAGAGAGCGAGAGAGAGATGATACACTAGCCTGACAGGGTGTCATGGTATTAGTGATCTAGACCGTGAGGGCTACACTTGATTAAGGAGACCTCTACAATGCTGAAGTCACCATGCGCCATTGCTGCCTGCCATGCTGGATGGCCCCCTCTTGGAGGGTCGGTCACGTGATGCAGTTTAGTACCGTTCCTCAGCAGCCACAGTGACTGGTGGTTTATTTCACTGATGCATGGTTTAGAACACCAAACACCAAACACCGATGCCGACTTCAAGATCAAGGTCGGGGGTATCCGAGACCGTGTGCGCTCCGATGCCCGATTTAAGTACTCAAGTGTGTAACTACCCTGAGAAGGTATGACAACGCCTGGGCTACAACACAATGCAGTGATGTTAAGCCACTGAGGGGTCTACATCTTCGCTGGATTAGCTGAGGCATGAATCAATGGGCGTTGTGGTCTCTGAGCGACCGATAAAAGTGACCAAGCAAATCGGGCACGCCTCGCAAATCTCGGATACCTCACGAGCTCAAAGTTGGAGCAGCGGCGACTTACATTAAAAATATTGGACTTTTTGGCACCGTCGGCCGGATGAGATTGGTGCAGCGGCTGGCGACCACCAAACAATTTGGATATACCATAACGCAGTCAACCATTGCTGAGTACAGGTAGTCGTAGTTCGATGTCGTTATGTCATTTCTAAAGTTAGCAATTATCATAAATTCACATGTGCACCACTCTGAAGCGCTACGATACCGCTACCTAGGGGGAATGGCTTAGTCACAATGCATCTTGGATACGATCGTACGGCAAATGTTGCCGGGAGGGTGCGCGGTACCAGCATTTGTCATGTGGTGGGGCCACACTTCACGGTATGGTGCGGCCATCAACGTAAGCATTGGTACCGAAAACATTGTCCCCATTGAAGCACAGCATTTTGGTAATAGTACATGTCGTGGTACGACACCCGTAAAACATGAAGGCCACAATGCACTGCTCGACCCGGGAGCGCTGCCGAGGGCTTCTTTAAATCGTGACTTTTGATTATTCTTATGCACTTGGGGCATCTCATAACTGGAAACCTAAGTGAAACTGCATAGTATTCAGGTGCTACAAAAACAACACTTCATAACGATCCCAGCTCAACGTAGTGTAAGCTTGTGTAGTGCAACGCGTTAGCTTACGACAACTTAATGCTCCCTGTTATCAGCACGACAAAACAAAGCCACGAGACATTTGCCTATAAGGCCGACATCTGCCTGGAAATATTGGTACAAAAACTGGGCGCAAAACCTACCTAATCGGGAACTCTGACCTTTCCGAATCTAGAATGATGTGGCATAAATGGGGCGCTGCCAAACTCCAGCTACCTCGTGCGTCTTATTGTGGCTGCAGCAGATGTCCAATTCGGAACACAAGCCAGCCAATCGGATACGTCCCGGCGTGACGTATGCAGTGGTTTCGCGGTGGCATCGGTGCCGCCTGGTCGTGCGTGGCCACGTCCTGTCCGCCCCTCGTCGTCTCGGGACACCGCGGGGAGCAGAAGCGGCAAAGCCAGCGCCAGGGAGGGAAAAGAGCGCGTGCAGGCGGTCACCTTGATGTCGGTGTCGGGCGAGTCCATACTCTGGGCCTGCGCCAGGAAGCGACTGGACACGGAGCGGCCGTCGGCGTCCGAGCTGTGCATGAAGATGACCTGGGTGTAGCCGAGCATCTTGAGCAGATCCACCCAGACGTCGGCCTGATGCGAGAACGGCGGCACCGTGCGCAGGAATGAGCCGTGGATGTTCTGTGTGCAGACGAGGAGCGTTACAGACGGCCGGCCAGCATTTCTGCAGGCCCATCACCACGTGGGATTATGGCTATAGGTACCGCTATGCAGTGATGTAGCTGTACACAGCTACTAGGCAGCCGCCGTGACTACAGACAAACCTATTGGTCGCCACTGCGGGCGGACCTGTTACGTCTACTCCCAGTCGACAGCACCTCAGGGCGCTATGGTCACTACAGACGGACATAGTCACCGCTGTCACAGACGGACCTGTTACCACTGCTCACAGTCGACAGCACCTCAGGGCGCTATGGTCACTACAGACGAACATAGTCATTGCTGTCACAGACGGATCTGTTACCACTGCTCACAGTCGACAGCACCTCAGGGCGCTATGGTCACTACAGACCACCATTGTCACAGATGGGCACAGCCACTACAAACTGACACAGACACTGTCACTATCGACAGACACCATCACTGCGAGCCAACACGTCCACGGTTACTACAGATATGTACAAACAACGCCATTAGGAAGGAAAACAATCAACGTCACTTCGAATGGATACAAGCAAACGGACCGCCACGCGGACAGTCACGACACGCCGACGGTCACCGTCACTAGAAACAGTGACAGCTGGACACCGAACACATTGAAGATGAAGCCAGACCCAGTCAAGGTAACAGCCGGACGCTGGGCACAGTCAAGGATATAGCCGGACACTGGCCACAGTCAAGGGTACAGACGGACACTGGGCGCAGTCAAGGGTACAGCCGGACACTGGTCACAGTCGAGGGTACGGCCGGACACTGGCCACAGTCAAGGGTACAGCCGGACACTGGCCACAGTCGGGGGTACAGCCGGACACTGGCTATAGTCAAGGATACAGCCGGACACTAGCCACAGTCGAGGGTACAGCCGGACACTGGACGCAGTTAAGGGTGCAGCCGGACACTGGACACATCCAAGGTTACCGCCGAATGCAGTCAAGGGTACAACCGGACACTGGCCACAGCCAAGGGTACAGACGGACACTGGACACAGTCAAGGGTACAGCCGGACACTGGACACAGTCAAGGGTACAGCCGGACGCTGGACACAGTCAAGAGTACAGCCAGACACTGGTTCATCCAAGGTTTCCGCCGAATGCAATCAAGGGCAACAGTCAAGGGTACAGCCGGACACTGGACACAGTCAAGGGTACGGCCAGACACTGGACACAGTCAATGGTACAACCAGACACTGAACGCAGTTAAGAGTACAGCCGGACACCAGACACGGTCAAGAGTACAGCCAGGCACTGGACACAGGCAAGGTACAGCCAGACGCTGGACACAGTCAAGGGTACAGACGGAAACTGGACACATCCATGGTCACCGCCGGATACAGTCAGGGGTACAGCCGGACACTGGACACAATCAAGGGTAGAGCCAGACAATGGACGCAGTCAAGGGTACAGCCGGACACTGGACACAGCCAAGGGTACAGGCGGAAACTGGGCCCTCAATGTCAGGAGGGTATGACACATCCGCTGTCTGAAGTCCAAGAAAGAAGGAAATCCATCATTGATACCACACATCAATAATATGAACTTAGCCCCAGCTATATTCAGGCAGGTTCAGGTTACTCAGACACCTGAAAAAATTCCACTATTATTCAGGCTTCGCAATGCATCAATTGAAGATGCAGAACAAAGTCAATGGCCAATGAGTACATTCATGGAATGCAGACGTTGAAACTTCAACGTTTCTAAAGAAAAATAGAATGATCCGGCGTAGTGCATTCTGACGCCTGCTGCCGGTGGTGTCTGACTTCAGTGCAAATCGATGGCAGATGGTACTTCTCTGTCTGATTTCCGGATCCATTTCACAGAAACGTTCCACTAAAACCCATCGCTTCGATCATCCCTGGAACTAGCTTTAATCAACGGTCCGTGTCCACGCGAGAACATGCCAGTGTTCTCAGTGACCAGCACAGATTTGGACATGAAAGCCTGCTCAGTCAGCTTGACACGGATCGGAGTGGAGTGCTCTAACCAGCCGCGAACGCTCTTGACACCGCAACAGCAGCCAAGCGCCGGCTCAGCGGCACACGTCAGTCACCCACAATCACACGTTCGCACTGATGAGTTCCACCCCTTCATCTGTTGAGAGAGGTCAAACCGGCACCGGTGTGCGCGCTCGCCATCCCATACTCCCTCTGGTGGCGCGGTGGCGACGGCCCTCACCTTGTCAGAGAAGGCGCTATCTCGGGAAGTGATCCCCACGACGGGGATGTGATAGAAGCCGGACGTGTAGGAGACGGCCGCCGGCGAGATGTCGCCGGTGCTCGGGTGTGAGACCACCATGGCGTACACCTGACGGGAGAAACCCGGCCCAAACGGTCACTGCTGCTCGGCCCACACCGTCACAGCTGCCCGGCACACGCGGTCACAGCTGCTCGGCACACACGGTCACCGCTGCCCGGTCAACATGGTCACCGCTGCTCGGCACACACGGTCACCGCTGCCCGGTCAACATGGTCACCGCTCCTCGGCACGCACGGTCACCGCTGCCCGGTCAACATGGTCACCGCTGCTCGGCACACACGGCCACAGTTGCCCGGTCGACACAGTCACAGCTGCCCGGTTGACGCGGTGTACCAAAATGTTTAAGCTTGCATCGGTTAGTGGTTATTACTATCCGGCCGGGTACCCGTTTATTGGACAGCGATCGGATAATGCGGCAGCATGTTAACGAATGAGCTGGGATAAACATGTCGGATCCCGATCATTTAGCTGTTGATTCCGTGGATTTTTGGTGCGTGCGTTCGCAACTGTTCCTCATTGCCATTGGTACATCTATTCATAACGTTCAGAAGACGGGGCGGCAATCATGATTGGGAAGAGAAACGTAAAGCGCAGACAGTGGAAATGTATAAATATGCTTACATCTGATGCCGGTGTTAATTTTTCAACACAATTGGCGAGGCGGCGTGCGCAGCCCTCTCCGATCTCAGCTCAGCTCCATAACTTAGCAGAGCTCTCTGTGCGTTGGAGGGGCACTATATCAAGTCATGGACAAAATCAAGTGGATGGGAGGTGAAGGCGGTAACGTTGAACCATCTGCTCATGACCAGACCCCTCAAGTGCTGGTGTCAGTACAGCGTAGCAACAACGTATCTGCACGCTCTTCCAGAAAGGATCGAATTGGGACACTCCGCTTTGCGCCGGGTCTCGACAACCAGGGCACGATGTTAATGGTTAGTGCTTCAGGGCGCGCACACGGCCGCGTGTGTTCAATGTCATAACGTACATGTATATCGCGTCCACCATTTGTGAATTGACGCACGAATGTGTAAATAATCGGTAGATTTGCCAACAGCGTCGTGACATATCGAAATTCGTTCTCGACTAAGCGCAAATGCCGCTAGAAGTCAAAGTTCCAAACAATGAAGACCATGGGTAACTTTTGCACGCAAATTGGCAGTTTGGCATATTGCGTACATATGGTCAGTCAGCAGCATAGCCGTGATATGTGAGTGGCTCGGCAGCTGTACTTTTTAATGGATTTACAGACATGTGTGCAGTGAGCGAACTACCCATCTCCGAGAGCATGGGAAGAAGGGGGTGGTCGAGGAGAATCCGAACGGTGTTAGACGAGCAGTGCACCACTGACAACCCGATCAGCGCAGGCAACAAGCCGAGGCAAGCCGGTGAACGGTAGGCATGCAGCACTTGACAAGTTCATGTGCGCACTAGGCAGGCTTTCATTTTTGGCACAATACGAAATCACAGCGTATGGGAAAACAAGCATTAATATTCACTTGTTCTACGACCGCCATCTGTTCCTTTTTGCGAACAGAAAGGACATGTGTGGGGGCTCACGGCTCATTTTTTACGCTCTACCATGCAAGTTCTGGCTTGAAATGTCCGGGAGATAATGTCAGATCGTACGAAAATCCCGACAGGGCTTGGGTGATTCGATGATGATGCATTCTGTTGCATATCTGGTTATTGCTATTGCGTACCCCATTACGTTAGGCATAAACCCCTCCACAGCGTTCGTGTTCACGCGCTGTCCACCTCCCCATGTCGCAGACAGCGTTCCTGGCGCGGTCTGCAGGCGCACAGATCGTTGCCAAAGACATGCAGAATGGTGCTAAAGTACCACTGATCGAGCTTGCGGTACCTGTCTGGATCATAAGAGAATTCATGGGAAAGGGAGAGAGAGATAGAGAAAAACAAAGAGAGAGAGAGAGAGAGAGAGAGAGAGAGAGAGAGAGAGAGAGAGAGAGAGAGAGAGAGAGAGAGAGAGAGAGAGAGAGAGAGAGAGAGAGAGAGAGAGAGAGAGAGAGAGAGAGAGAGAGAGAGAGAGAGAGAGAGAGAGAGAGAGAAGAGAGAGAGAGAGAGAGAGAGAGGAGAAGGAGAGAGAGAGTAGAGAGAGCGAGAGAGACAGAGAGAGGAAGAAGAGAGAGAGAGAGAAGAGAGAGAAGAAAAACAAGGGAAGAGGGAAGAGGACAGCGGGACAGTAAGAGAGGGAAAGAGAAGGGAAGAGAAATGAGACAGAGGGAGATAGGAAAGAGAGAAGAAATGAAAGCGGAAAGAGGAATGGATAGGAAAGGAGAGGGAGAGGGGGAGGAGAGGAGGGGGCTAGGTTTTGGAGAGTTAGAAGGAAAATTGGAAAGGGAAGGGATGAAAGTGAAAGAGAAACAGAGACAGAGACAAAGTGACGGAGACATTAACACATACGGACAGGTATAAAGAGACACAGACACAGAGAGATGCAGAACAAAGAGACGGACAGACAGTAGAACAAATGTATGCAATAATGACGTTTGTCAGCCGGCGGCGCGCACGACATGTCAAGGGTCAGCCGGTGGTCACGACCGAAAGGCACCTACCACCTCGCAGGACACCATGGACACGCGCGGGGGTCACGACAGCCACGATCCAGCGGGCGAGCGAGCGGCAACAGGTGCCGCTAACACCACGCTTGTTTGACAGCGTCAGCCGACAGGCTCGTCAGCGGCTGACCTCGGGCCCGGCCCACGCCGGCGACGGCGGCACTTAACGCACTGGCTGCTGGCGTGCACATCGCCTCTGCTGTCCCAAACGAAGATGACTTGCTCGCTATTTACCTTCGGTCTGCGCCGACGGAACTTTGCCGGCGCGGAACGGGCAGCTGCACAGAACATCGAATATCTAGCGCCGTCCGTCTAAGGTGAGGTGAAATTGCAAGGTAAGTCGGCCACCCGGTGACCATAAATCGACTGATTGGAGATCGGCGACAGTGCGCACTGCGTTAAAAGCGCAAACTTAATCGGAGAGCCGTGCAGGCTCCATGGCCGAGCCTCGGTCCCAGGCTCGGATTCCCCGGGCGCCTACGGCATAATCACCGCCGCCATTCTACTCAATCGACAGTGAGCCAATGACCTCGATTGACCTACGCGAAGACCGAAAATGATGACCGTGGAGGCGAGGCGGTACGGGCAGTCATGCGAAGTATGGCCTTGAGGCGGGCCGGTGCGGAAAGGCATGCGCCCACGCTCCGTCTGACTGCGCGACTAGTATGCGTGCGTTGCGATGGTGGCGGCCCCGCACTACAGCACGACAAGCCAATGGCTGCGGCATGGTCTTCAGCTCTTCATTTTGAAGCCAGTCATTGCAGTAAGGTGACCTTGGCTATTTGGCGTTGTCCGTATGCAATGCATGCGAATTCAGAGCAGTTTTGCGCGCTGCGCGCGACACCAGGCGGCGTGCAGGGCGCACGTCATCACGTCGGGTCGGCGAGGCTGCGGCCAGCGCGGCCAGCCAGCCGAGACTGGCTCCATTAGAGCCCCCCGAGAGGCGACATGACTTAAACATGAGCCGACCGGCCGGGCGGTCAGCGCAGCGACGCCTCGCAGCCAGCGGCTTCTCGGGGCGTGGGCCCACACACGGCACCCACGTCTGGCGGGCCGGGCCGGGCGCACGCTTCGACGCTCTGTATTGATTGCCGAGGCCAGCGGCCCTTCAGCGTCCGAGCCACATCCGCCGGTCAGCGGCTGTCGGGACGGCCGGACGGCCTTGTCCAGCCGTCCACTCGACACTCTG